ATGATAAGGACAAAGAAAGTGTAGAAAAACTCATTCTGTAAACTAAACATCATAAGCTTCGTCATATGTAATAATTGTATCACCTTTATAATAACTAGATAAACTTAGAAATGAGGATATCCGCAGTAGAACCAGAGTGACCGACTTAGCCCAACGTAAGCTGAAGTGGCAATGGGCCGGCCATATAGCTCGAGGAACCGACAACCAAGAGTTCTCGAGAAACACGCGTGTATGAGAAATAAGAAAAAAATATTTCGAAGACATGAAGTTCGCCAACACGCACTGGTGCAGCGTGGCGGACATTTCCTTGCCCTAAAACCTTCTCAAAAATGAAAGGAAGTCTATGCCCAGTAATGGGACGTATATATAGGTTGTAACTTTAACTCAGCACATTTAGCAATTTTTAGTACTCACATTGAATACTAACTCTATATAATAGAAGAGAATTTTGTTAAATAAATATACATACTTTTTAAATGCAAGGGTTCAATATCTAATAAAGCTAATTAATATTTTTAGAGTAAAATATAAGTACTTTAAATTTAACAAGAGCTAAACGGTGCAGTTATACTTATATTTCTTTCTTTACTGGTAAAAAAATCACTGTTTCTTCTAGTTTCTGAAAATAATTAGCACAAAAGTTATGCACTTGGAATAAATGTTACCTGATGAAATGAATTCAGCTTTCGTGATTATAAATTTTAGTTTCCATAATATTAGCCCAATTATAAAGTGATTGAGCTTTGAAGATGCATGATTCTTTTCCTACCAAAATTGTAGCATTTGGAAATAATATTTATTTATTTTAATTTTTATACACAAATGGACTAACGAATTTAAGAGATTTTTAATACTTAAGTGACAGGTTTGTGCTGCGTTTCTGTACTGGGGCATTAATGCCTTAAAGCCTCCTGCTCCTAGTCCATCATGAGTTCATGAGGCTAAACAGAGGTGATGATGAAATAAAATGTTTACATCTGCTCGAAATATTTGTGGTGTTGGACATTTACACAACAAAACAAACACAAAATTTGGAAAGTTGGACAAAATAGCACCCTAGCTATTTTGTATTTTTGTAGGCGCAGAAACCGTTTGGGAAGAGAAGTTCTCGAGCAGACTCATACTATAAACGTAGTGTAGGACGTCCCCCCACCAACAAAAAACATGCAGAGGAGTAAATTGATGACTGTGGCCCAGAACCGTAGGTAGTTTGTGACACTCTGTTTTCAGCAATGGACTTGCGATGGACTGAAATGATGGTAAAGATGAAAAATAATTTTTCTCATTATGTGCATCCGCATTTTTTTTTATTTTTTTTTTTGTGTCTCCTGTTTTTTATTACGTCAGTTTTTTATTAGTTTGTGTTGTTTCTCAGAAAGAAACTGTTGCCCATCTCCCGTTTCCTTTCCCACTGTCGTCTCTTACGACACCCACGAGATCATTTAGAGTAGTGAAATCTCTTACAAAGCCACTACACGGAAACAAGTTTCTTATGGACAATATTCACCGGGGCAGGAACAGCTACCACCACCACGTGCTCGGCGATAAAGGAAAACACCGTGAGGAAACCTGCATGTCTATGGAATAAGAAAAAAAACATTTCGAAGACATGTGAAGTTCGCCAACACGCATTGGGTTAGCGCGGCGGACACTTCCTTGCCCTAAAACCCTCTCAAAAATGGGGGGCGGCCTGTGCCCATCAGTGGGACGTATATAGGCTGTAACTTTACTTTTTTAACTTTAGGAACAGCCAGACAGAACAGACAGCCAGACAAAACAGAAGTTAGTCAAGGTAGTTGGTTATTTTCTGACGTCTTTATGATTATAATTAGGACCTCACAAAAGTCTATCTACTACTTATACAATATATGTACTTAAATACTGTCTACTTTTTATACGATTCTAGCGATCCGCCCCTACTTCGCACGGGTGATATCTAGATCTCGACAACAGCTCTACCTACCAGGTCCAATTGTGAATCTAAACCATCCAGGGCTCAAACAAAAAAAAATCCATCAGAATCGGTCGAGCCAGTTTCTAGTTTTAGCGAAACTAACGGATAGCAAAAATATATATATATATATATATAGAATACAGATTTTATTCATTTATTATAATATTTGGGTTAACAACAGCTTAGCTTCTAAAGTTTTTCAAAATGTAGCTATACCAAATAAAGCTAATTAAAGTATACCTAGATTTACATAATGAAGTAGAGTAAGAATGCCGAATATGTGATAGTCGCCATATATGAGATAGTTAGGTTTTGGCGGAACTAATCGCCAAAGCCATTTGGCACTCCTGAAGAAGCCACGTGGCAAAAGATCGAAACGTGTGTTAGTGCATCCCAGTAGCGTCGTAGATTCTTTCCGAAAAAGATCGATTTTTAAATCGATTCGAATCGAAATCTGATGAATCGATTCACAAAAAAATCGAGGTCTAAAAGATAGATATCTCAAAAATCGATATATGTTTACTTATTATGTATAATTTGCCTAGGAGAGACATATATATTATATATGTCTACTTCTGGGCAAATATTATGTCGGTCGCCTAGTTTTTAGTAAGGATGTCATTTTAATGCAAAATTAGTACAATATATATGTTTAAAATTTGCGAAACAAGTTAATCGAACCCCCTTAATGTTTAAAATAACCAAATTACAAGTATGCAAAGACTTTCTATTGCAAAATGTTACTTACAAACCCGCATTGAACAAGTTTTAGTAATGATCCAAAAACATTTCACGATGAGATATATTTTTAAATGGTTCATTTTATTTCATTTTAAATATTATTAAGTTTTAAAAATAAGAACTATCCTTAAAACTTACAGTGGAACACAATGACCTAAATTCGTCCCTCTTCTATTGGCTTATGTTACTTCGATCTTAGGAGCCTCATAACGGAACGCACGTCTACAAGGCGGAATTGCTTCGTGCCACACAATAAATAATAGTACTGACGTACTGATGGTCCAATAGGAAATAGAATGATTTCGAAGCTGTTAAACATTGTTTAATATATTAGTCTAATACTCGTGATTCCCTTGGTTTTTCTGAACAGGGAGACTACTAGGCGTAAATCATGTTCCTACAAAGTGACGTTGTACAGCTAAATGTAGTAAAATTTCTCAGGATAGCTTTTACCGGAGAAGAAATGGTAGCTATACGCCAGCAGTAAAGTACGTAATACACTACTTTTAAGATATTTCTAAATAAAGGCATAAACATGCAGCTATGTTATGGTTGTAGCACGAATGGTTCGGCTTGACGAGAGAAGGACCGCACTCTCACGCAATATCAGCGTAAAATAGAAGCTTAATATTGTTGTGTTTCGTATGATGAGTGTAGACATCCAGAGACTCTATTTTACTAAAAACGAGTATTCCATCTTAGTCCTCAGGGGTGACAACGCATCAGCTTTCTGATTCTTAATCGAGGTTAAATATAGATGTCTATGGGCCACAGCATCCACTTACCACAACGTGGACTGTGTGCTCATTTGCCACCCTTATTCTATAAAAAAATATGCACGATAGGTATTTCTATCCGATTTCTATTCGACACAATTCTTCTTTATTAGTATTTTTAGTCAAATCTGTGCATATATTTTATATCATATTTAATCAATTAGAAGTATTGGTATTGTTGATATGTTTAAATTAAAAGTAGGTAGGTACCTACTTTCATGAAGTCATATTTTCAGTACGTAAGTAGGTACTTACGTACTGAAAATATGACTTTCTAGAGGCTATCTTTACATTTTCCTCATTCCAGCTACAATGGTCGTTATTATTTTTAATAAAAGACGCAGTAAGAACAAGCTCTCAATTATTTCCAGAATAAGTTTTACTTCTTAATCATCGACCCGTAAACTTGCTTTGCTGGTTACGGGCCTTTTCGTTTGCAGAGAATATTTGCTTCCAGATTGCCAGATTTTTAATGAAATTAAGTATAACAATAATAAATAATAATGTAAGCTGTATTATGCCAACTGATACTCCGTATAATACTAACTCAATAGCACGCAATCCACTACTACTACTACTATAATTGATGGCAGAAAAGCCATTCAAAAACACTGAAACTCAATTGGTGAACAAGAATAGCAGCATTACTAGCGTGAATTTGTCCCTTCTGCTTGTACAAAACTTCTTATCATATTATTATAACAGTAAGTTATTATGCATAAAAGCATCATATTCTTGGAAAGGCTTAAGGACGTGGACTAAAAATAATGTCGATATGTGATGTACAAAAACAATAAGCTTACATCCTATTGGCGCCTCTAGTTTTCATAAACAGGTAGGTATGATATTTGTTTAATTGTGTACATGTTCGGAGATCAAAAAATTATAATCATATGAATTTTTTTGGAAAGCTTCATACCACAATTATCCTTGGAGAAGTTTAAGTCTTAAATAACGTACGTAGATAAACAAAAAAAATTCCAAAAAAATATTTCTTGAGTACAGTTATAAATTCGGACAGTGAAATAAAATACAAATACCCAAGACTGGATTTTCGAAATAATATGAAATAAAATATATATTATTTTAAGCAATTATATTTTACTTTTACTTTAAATGACGTTAATTACGACTCAAAACGGCTACATTTATTAAACTTATTACTTATTAAAGGTATTGGACGTAATCAAAGCAACATGAAGGCAATAGCACGCAAAGCATTTTATTCATAAATTAAAAATAATACTGTCAAAATAATTTTAAGGCGTTTTTTATTTCGTGCCTATAAAGTACACAAATACACTTTTGTGATAAATGATAATAAATGACAATAGAGATAAAAAAATTATTCAAAAAGGACAGGTACCTACGAAAATCGCAAAGCTCTGTAATTAAGTATAATATAATAAATTAATATAATGAAGGCTATAACAGTCCAAGATTTATAAAAGGAAAACAGTGAGAATATTACTGCCTTGTACATATTAACACTTCGCTGCTACATATCTATGTAATAAAATAATACCTACCCCCGATGATTTGACGTCCATTATGTTCGGAGCTTATTTGGCGGGAATTATTAAATTATTATTTCAAGTTGTCACTTTATTACAATATCAACATTCAGCTAAAAACCGCGCGTTATGGCATATTTCAACGCACGCACCACTTGTACAGAGAGACAAGCACACGAACACTCGTTGCGCGCGCAACTGATGATTTGTACTTGATCCATGCTTGATATTATACTTGATAATTAGGTATCAACACTATCAAGAATTCAAGAGATGAATGCAAATGCTTCATCTCTTTTTAAATTCGCAGTTCCTCGTAATGTTATGAATTTTACACACAGCTTCATTCAGGCCTTATCATAATATGTACAAATAAATATACATATATATATATATATATATATATATATATATATATATATATATATATATATATATATAATTTTATGAATATTGAATGTCACGTTGTTCGTCCGCGATGGACTCCTAAACTACATAACCGATTTTAATCAAATTTGCATACCGTGCGCAGTTTAGTCCAACTTGAGAGATAGGATAATTTTTTTACCCATGACCCCCAATTTTTTTTGCGAATTTAAGGATTTTTAGTAGCCAGGACAAAGGTCGTCGATAAGCGTGATTTATATATAATTTTATAAATATTAAATGATTACCATTGTATAGAAATTTAATGGAAATTTAATGGTGTTACGTGTCTAATGAGCTTTTTTTGGCAGTTTAAACCGGTATGTACTCGCTCTGAACATAAATTGTACTTTACGAGGACCTGTTTAATATTATCGGTCGCTTTTCACACAGCGTTACATCCCTGTATTAAAAACACCAAATGAACGTACCGTAAATTTCAAGTCGTCAATTTTTGGTTTTTATGCTTAAAATCTCGATATAGGTAAACTGTTTACAATAAAACTATCCTCAATAAAAGAAACTGCAATTATAACTTTAATGAATAAACTTGCATGACTTTATTTGTTTTCGATTTATCAAGCTCAAGTCGACTTTTCTCACACGCTTTAACATAAGTGGAAAACGTGTTAACATTAGCATCTTAATTTTTCTACTTGGTTCGTAACGCTTGTACCGCCACTTATTTACGACTGTAAAATGAACAAATCCTGGAAGCTGGCCAATGTGCAACTGGTGTCAAAAAAACGCTGCTATCCTGACAATAATCGGGCAATCTCAATTACCTCCATATTCTGCAAAAGTATGTAGCGTATATTAAACTTCTCCCTTGTCACCTAAAATCGAATTCCTCAGCAACCAACAGAACAGATTCCACCATAACCGATCGACAGAGGACCCTTTAGGATTTGACACACGCCTATGGAGCGAGACTTAAGCAATTTCCGTTTCCCTTGATACCGCAAACGCCTACCAAAAGCCCTAGCCTTACAGGCAAGGTTTTAGCGTACGGCTTTTCCTTGACATGTTCGTTAGAGCGCTCTATATCATTTTCCAAAATGAACTGAAACACAATAGTGTATGGCGTACATTACACGCTCATGCATGCGTCAATCAATTCCATCAATCATAATTGATAAAAACGGATGGTGACCGATAGGCGTACACTACGCGCTCATGCAGGCGTCAATCACTGCATTACACGGTAGGTTATTCGTCAATCACAACTGTGATTGTTGTAATACTGACAGTCCGCATGAGCGTGTAATGTACGCCTAAGCTAAGCAGCGGAAAATATTATTAAGAACTTATATTTAATTTCTTATTAACTGAGTCCGATTGGATAATAATCCGGAGTCAGGCTCCTAGTGTATCAGATCTTTTCCTATCTTTTCTTCAGAAGTGACAATACCGTTGTATTTTGATACTTAATTGAGGATAAATGGAGATGTCTATAGGCCTCAGGGACACAGCATCTACTTACCATCAGGTGCGCCAGTGTATAGCGTAACGTTTTCTTTTTTTAAAATAAAACGGAAACGACCCTTCTACTTCATCCGCAGGAAGCCGCAACCCAACCCCCCAAAAAATATTGTATTTATCAATCCCAAGAAATACATTTTAATCGAAATCGAACAATTAATATCAGAGAACATAGCAAGAGACTGACTCACCACAAATAAACTCCGAACCCACTTAACGGTGGGTATCCATTATGTTCGAGCTCCAGCAGCGCTCCGCGCTCCTGCAACTGCTCCCGGTAGTGGGTACTGTTGTTTCCATCCAAGTTCAAAATGATTTTCCTAGAAAGTCCTTATAAAGTTCTACTTTTCAGATTTTTTTCATATTTTTTAAATTTAAGGTTCAAAAGTTAGAGTGGGGTGGGGGGACACATTGTTTTTTACTTTTGGAGCGATTATTTCCGAAATTATTGACATTATCAAAAAATGATTTTAGTAAACCCCTATTCATTTTTAAATACCTTTCCAACAATATATCACACGTTAGGATTAAAATTAAAAAAAAATCACTTTCCACTTTACATATAGGGGGGCTACCCTAATAAAACATTTTTTTCCAATTTTTATTTTACCACTTTGTCGGCGTGATTGATACACATATTGGTACCAAATTTCAGCTTTCTAGTGCTAACGGTCACAGAGATTAAGCGAGGACGGACAGACGGACAGACAGACATGGCGAAACTATAAGGGTTCCTAGTTGACTACGGAACCCTAAAAAGAATTAGCCATTTCTGTGAAATCGGTGAACATATTAAAAAATATACGCGTTGAATATAAAACCTCCTAGTTTTTTGAATCCGGTTAAAAATAAGCTCATTTAATAGCCTCGTGACAAAACTACTATACTGCCTAATAATAAAAGCGGAAGTTATATAATCATTTTGAATGACGTAAGGTGTAAAATTGTTAATATGTTCGCCAATGACGTAATCAGGGCAATGGTTTAAAATCCTCTCTCTTTGCTAACCAACTTCAAAAGAGGAGGTCTGTATTTATATTTTTAAATGATTTGAAAGATTACTTTTGCATCCAAATTAGCCCCATGGCGGGCCCATTTTAATTTTATTAGTGTTGGTTGTTGTTTTAAACTTGTTTTAAATACGTACACTTCATACCTGAGGTCTGAGTGAAGGTATGTAAGGTATAAATAGCAGACGAAGATTTTCATGTCACTAACCTCTCTGACCACACAATTGGGTCAAAACCAAACTTTTAATAATTACTAAAGTCTCCTCCAAAAACTAAAAAGTATAAAATAAATTCCACATAATAATAGCTTGTGAAGTCTTGAGAAATTCTTCGATACACTACTGTCTTAGCACTAATTTCAGCTTTCAACAATGTTATTTCGTTGTTCATCCGCTGTCTTTCTTTTCTATATAAATTTTGCTTAACTTAGGCGGAATAATTCATAACATATCCTTTTTTTTTCATACAATATATTGAATGTAAAAACGCTGTGATGAACATCTGGGAGTATTATTTATTTTTTATTATAGTCGTAATATTATAATAAACCATCGTATTATGTACCCTAATAAAAAAATTACCAAAATTTCTGACTGTTATATCATGAAAATATTTAACTTTTGTATTACTTCCGAACGCTACTTATTGATAGAGAATTGGTATAATAGGATAATGTAGTTTAATAAAGTTAAATATTATTTGCTAAATCAAATTCCTATATGAAGGCGACAACCACATTTTTAAAATAAGTCTGATATATTCATTCAAAATATCGATTAGTGAACTAAATTCTTACTATCCATTATATAGTTTTTTTTACATGGTGGAGCCATGCTGCAGCTATAATATGGATGTAGCACGAATGGGTCGGCTCGACCGGGGAAGCTCCACGCTCTCACAGAAAACCAGCGTAAAATAGCAGCTTAATGCTGCTGTGTTTCGTACGGTGAGTTTAGAGAACCGGAGATCCGTTTTACTGGGATCGAAGCATTCCATCTTAGCCCTCAGGGGTGACAACGCATCTGCATTTTGATTCTTAATCGAATATAGATAATGATTTCTTACATTTACGCGAACACTACACATTGAAATAATACTAGTTTTTACGGAATTTATCGCGTATATTTAACTTTTAAATACCCGACGTTTCGACAAACTAAAAGATCAATAAAAACCCGCGTTAAAGAACATATAGCTGATGTGAAGAATCGACGCTCCGGGAAGTCTGCAGTCTGTGAACACGTACAGGATCGCCCCCGTCACTACATCAGATTTGATAGACCGCAGATCCTCGCTAAAGAACGCCGATTCCTTCCATGGATGATTCGCGAGGCTATTGAAATCAAAAAACATCCTAATTTCAATAGAGAAGATGGCTGGGTGCTACCATCTGCTTTGGATCCTATAATAAATAAAATTAAATCCCAACCCAAGCAAACAACCGCAAGACTTCAAGATACCATAAGTTCATACTGTATAGATTGGAACAAAAGTTAAAATTTTAATCTATGATAACCGCGGTTAACTATGACATATGGACGTTGAACATCTCAGTCCTGCCCGTGACCATGAGTGCTGTAAAGCGTTCGAAACGTCGGGTATTCAAAAGTTAAATATACGCGATAAATTCCGTGAAAACTAGTATTATTCGAATATAGATGTCTGTGGGCCACAGCATCCACTTACCATCAGGTGGACTGTGTGCTCGTTTGTCAACCTTATCCTATAAAAAAAGTTGCCATGCTCGGCGAGCGGGTTAGTAATTGCAATTTATTTTTTATTTTTAGTCGTTATTAGGAAGACGCTGCTGCCCATCTCCTGATCTCTTTCACTCTTACGACACCTATAGAATGATGTTCTTGCACCGCCACTACACACGATTTTTATTAATTTTATACGTGGAAGTGCCATGCTGCGGCTATATTTGTATGGTTGTAGCACGAATGGGTCTGCTCGACCGGGGAAGGACCATGCTCTCACAGAATGTAGCGTAAAATAGCAGTTCAATGCTGCTGTGTTTTGTATGGTGAGTGTAGAGAACCGGAGACCTTTTTACTGGAAACTTAATCATCAGGGGTGACAACGCATTTTGATTCTTAGTCGAGGATAGATGTAGAT